CGAAGAACTGTTACTTACATAAGTACTGTTTGGGTAAAAGGGTCTGAAGAAAGAGAATATCATAAGCAGCAAGGCTTACGATCAGGGAGAGGCAGGTGCCCTCTACTTCAGTTATCTGCTGCTCACAGTCCTGTCGTTTGGAGGGACTTAAGTATCCTACTACCTGTGTGCCTCCTCTGTCTGCAGTTACTCTTTAAAATTAAAATGATGACATGTAACACAGGTTTATAAATGTATCTAAGGCAATTCTTAGAAATATGAACATGCATGTTATAAATCTAAATATTAGTGAATACTTCAAGTATGAATTAATAAAATAACACTATGCCCCATGTTTTTAACTGGCAGAAGAAACTTGAGTACTGAGAATAAGGGACTTCCTGTAATAGTCCAAGTTCACCTGCAGTGAATCAAGTAGCTGACAAAATTTATAGCCTCAGGCTATCACTAATCAGGGGAATTGTCTCATGCAGGTTCTTTTTGTGTGTTTTTCTTTTATTAGCACTTCAGAGTTAATTCAGAGTAGCTTGATGAGATCTCATTATACCTATCCAGAGGCTGTAAGTCTAAATAATTCTGCTGGAGTAGAGGGAATAGAGGCAGTTTGGGAGAGACTTTTTGAAGCACAGTTTGGCTTGGTAGCAGGGAAACAGGCAGAAAGTCACTGCAAAGGAGAGCTTTGAAAAAAATGAACCAGGCAGTGCTCAAGAACTTAATCAGGCATGAATATGACATGTACTGATGTCTCCCCTGCAGTGCTCGTGTGTGACAAATCTGCCACTTTTTCTTGGTCTCCCGTCAACCCGTTTTCCAATCACTTGCCTCTTCCCTGCCTGGGCTGTGTCACCTGCAAAACTGGGTGTGAGTATGGAAGTGCTGCCCCTGGGCAGACATGAAGCGGGGCAGTCTGGGGTTTATGTCCTTTCCTCTCACTTGGCCTGGTGCCTTGGGTTTATCTCTACCTTATGTCAACCTAGGGGATGACTAATGTCCACTTCAGAGTTGATATTCTAAAATGTAGAAGTAGAATCTCTGCATTGTTACAGTATTGTTTTCCTGCAGGCCTAACTCAAGAGTCCTGCCCTGATCCTGTGAACCAGCTTTCTGCAGAGAAACACCATCCATCATACACTTCCCCTGTTAGGCCTCTGCTGGTTCGCTGTAGGTGGGGGGACTCCTGGCCCCTGCATTGCCAGCAGTGTTTTCCACGCAGGCAGCGCAGTCGAGGAAAGGATTGCCTGTTCCTCTGAGACCCATGTGTGGTTACCTCTTTTCTTGCCTTTTTTCTTCTATCAGCAAGCTGGAAAAGAAGGTTTTACTGGAGAAAGAGGGAAAAATTCTGTGCTGGCTTAGCTCAAGCTTCCTAATAAGATGGTATTAGAGGAACTATTTCTACTTTAGATGCTTGAAATATCAGTTGCTGCTGATGGAAAGTATTTCCATAGCTTTGAATCTAGAAGCTCCCTGTTTTCCATAAAACACCACAGTGTGAGCAGCCTCAGTACAAGCATGGCTATCCATGTGCAGCCTCCAGAAGTTGCTTGCTCTCTGCTGAGACAATTGCGTAGGAGGCAGTTGTGTGTCTCATTTTCAAGAAGCTGCTGCCCATCCCACTGTAACTACCTCAGTGATGAATGTAATTTGTTTTCCTCAGGAGACTCAATAGCTGTGATGCGTTCAGAGCTTTTTGGTCTGTATTACTGTCACCCCATTAAAAGTCTTGCATCACCAAGTTCAATTATCTACTTAAGGCTTTTCACAAATCTGCATCTCATACCGAACCCAGTCTTGGCCTTCTGTTTGGATGCTTCTCCCACTAATGTCCTGCAACTACTTTTCAGCTTGGTCCTTTTATTGAGAACTGATGCCCAATAAAACAATACTTTTCTCCTTCATTTCCCTCTTGAGACCTCTTGTGCTGTATTGCCTCCCAAGCACCAGCTGGGAAATAAGATGCTTGGGAACAGCTGCAATTTTAATTGTTTTATAAATGCTTAAGTAACTTGTAACCATTACATTGTGCAGTCCCCAATTTGTGCAAGGATGTGCTGTAGCTTGTTGTAGCCTCCCTAGGTACCTTACTGTGTACTTCTTGGTTTATTTTGAATGAAATATTTTACAGGAGGAGCTGTGATTTATGGATTTGCTTAATGGCTAGCACAGTGGAACCAGTTTGTGTCTGGACTACCACAGTTAGGCATCTGCCCTCTCTTGGGGTGCTCTTAATCAGCAGGCAGCCTGTGAGGACTCTTTCAAGTGTATCGTAAGAAGGAAGTTCCATCAAGGCTGGGCATGTGACAGTAGAAGACAAATATTGAGATGGTGTCAGCGCATTGATGCTCGTCTCCTTGCAGTTGTGGTGAAAGCCTCAGGATCTTTGCAATGGGTTAACTTGTATTGTAGGTGTTTTCCCACACCTGGTCTAGATTCAGTTCTTAAGACTTCTAGTGTAGTCACTAAATATTTTGCAAAGTTTAAAAAAAAAAGATAATAAATATCTAGTTATTAAGTGGTATAAAACCAGGAAAGAGAAATCTTTGTTACACAGAGGAAATAGCGTGGGATAGAACAGGGCATGGCTTGTTGGATATATTTGTGTGAGTCTTTGGCTTTGGTGGGTAGGTGTCAGGCAAGGGAAATAATTGGTGAGAGGATCCTTGGAATAAGAAGGGAGGGACTGAGAGGGAAGGACCTTCTGCACATTTGATTGAACTTTGTGAAGAGATTTTCAAAATTACAAGGAAAACCTTACAGATACTACTGTATGCTGTGGATGCTCCCAGCTAAAAGTTCAAATACACTTCATGTAAAGCTTAGAAGGAAGTGCAAGGACTAAGGGCCACAAGTGGAAAAGCTTAGAAAGGCTTATTGAAAAGAGAGGAAAACCATACATCCCCTTGGCAGCTTAGTAAAAACTTAAAATATTTTTTTTCCTTTCCGTTGTCTTCAGTGCATTATCTAACAATAGGTATAACTTCTGAAGCCTCTGGATCTTTTGATGTCTGTCTCATCAGATACAAAAAACTTCTCCCTTCCTGCTGCAGCCACATATCCCTGTTCTGACAAAAGATACCTACAGTCCATTTCCCTCTTACCGATTTCCTTTACTTTCTCTGACTATTGATTTGTTCATGAAATTACGTGAGAATGGAGGAACAGTATGAGGATTTGAACCCCTGAGCTTATGAACTCTGCTGCCAGAATAACCAAGTAACATAATGTTGACAAACTCTCATTCTCCTCGGAAAGTTGGTGGTGCCCTTACACATCAGCTTCTCGTGGACTGTGTGGAGACACACCTCGTGCATATTTCTCATGTTCCACCCCCACTGCTGTCTTGCAGCATCTCTTTGGACTGAACTGCTATGAGGCATGAGGGAATTCCTAGGGACTCCTTAGTCTTTCACCCACAAGCTCCCGTTGTACTGTTGACCCAGATCTGTAGCATCTGATGATAGTTCGGTGTCCTGCGTAAAATGGATTGTGCCATTAGGAAATGAGTCTTTGTTCAAGCACCCACATCAAATGAACTGCCAAGACTTTGGTTGTTTGGCTGTCCGTTTAAGAGGGGAGTGAACACTCATGGATACAGCTCTGTCCTTTCCTCTTTCAATATTCCCCCATGAATATTCTGCATATCTTCTCTATGTCCATTGGTATAGTTCCTTTTTCCTTATAAACGTTTCTATTCTCTCATCTCCTATCAGAATTTCAGTCATATTACATGTTAATGCTTTGCTCAGAGAGGGACTCTGTTTCCAGGGCAGGGCAGGAACAGTCTATTTCCAGATGGCGTTGGAATGACTGCACGTAACATCAGTGTGATCTTTCCTAGCGCCTTGTGCCACAGAGCTGACAAGTGCAGAGCAAAGGAGTTAAATAGTGCCTAATGAAGACTCAAGAGAAATGTGACTCCAAAGAGGAAGTTTCTAAGAATGAAAGAGGTCAAATTCACCCTGTGGTGTAGATCTGTAAGACTTCAAGAAAATTATGGTTAAAATGAGCTTGAGCCAGTGACTGTAGCACGGCAGAGCAATGCTTAGGTCCTTGTAAAATCTCTACAAAAAACATAGAAACTAATTGTGCCGAAACAGTTCAGTGATAAGCAAATTGTGCCCTTTTAAAACCTCTTCACCAACTTTCTTCCTGTAGAGACAATTAGCGTTTGTTCTCACTTCCTATTTATCATGACTAACCACCTCTCTCCATGCTCAGCTGTTCCTTTTTATTCTCCTTCTTTGTGTTTTGCTGTCCTGAAGCCAAATCTGAATAGATTTCAATGGCTGTCTTGTTCTTTTTGACTTGGTATCAGGCAGTCTTGACACCATAAGAAAACTATTTTCCAAATCCTAGCTATACAATGCATGAATTCTTTAAGAGAAGAAGTAAAAGTTCAGCTGAATGATGGATGCAAGGCGTGGCATCTGAAAGTGTAAAACCTCTGACACTTTCTCCTCCGGTTCCCTTTCTCCTTAGCTGCCCTAAAAGTTCAGTTTTTCACTACAGTAGATATTTTGAGTATGGAGGCCATAGGTGACAGCTGGAAGGGCTTGGAGTTTTAATGCCGTGTTCATCTAATCTCTTCCATATCAGAATCAGAATGGTAGGGTACAGGGCTGTTTCTTGAAAAGAGCAAAAAGGTCGTATGTGCTGCTTGTGAGCTGTCTGTGTTTTTCTACTGACTTGTAACCAGTAGGTTCTTTAGCAGCCTCACCCTTGGCAAAGGCCTTGTACCTGTCGGCTCCCTCTTCACCACCGACGCTATACCAGCTGCATCCTGCTTCTCGGGCAGAGCAGTATGTTGTCCAGAGCCCAGTAAGGTGCCACCTTACCCCAAGACTTAAAATTTGCTGTGGTAAAAATGAGATGACTGAAAATTCACTTATTTCTCAGCTTTGTCCTTTGTGGATGTTACGAGTTTGTGTGCGTTGCCGTCTGGGGGATGAAGACTTGTGACATCCTCACTGACGTCTCTCTCTCTTTCTCTCTCTCCATTTCAGAGTGCCTGCTGGGGTGTGTGCAGAAGAATGGCTGCGGCAGAACCTCTGACCGCTTTCTCCCGATGGTACCTCTATGCCATTCACGGCTATTTCTGTGAGGTGATGTTCACAGCTGCCTGGGAGTTTGTGGTCAACTTTAACTGGAAGTTTCCGGGTGTTACCAGTGTGTGGGCGCTCTTCATCTATGGCACCTCCATCCTCATTGTGGAGAAGATGTACTTGTATCTCAAAGACAAGTGTAACATTTTGGTGCGCTGCTTCATTTATACACTTTGGACATACCTCTGGGAGTTCACCACCGGGCTGATCCTACGCCAGTTCAATGCCTGCCCATGGGACTATTCCCAGTTCGATTTTGACTTCATGGGCCTGATCACCCTGGAGTATGCCATCCCATGGTTTTGTGCTTCTTTCATCATGGAGCAGCTGGTGATCAGAAACACCCTGCGCTTACGATTCGATGAGACTGCTGAGCCGGGGGCCCCCACTGTCCCTGTGGCCTTGGCCAACGGCCATGTGAAGACTGATTGAGCAGTGAGTGACTCAGAACCTCGCTTAGCAATCTAAGAGAGCCTAGACCTCTACCATGAACTGTCAGCTCTGGCTCTCAGGTACTGCTCCTTGCTGTATGATAAGATTCATAAACCCCATTTTTCTAATGGAGGTGTGCATGGGATATACCAGAAAAAAAGTGGAACCAATAGATTTTCTATGGATTTTACTCTTTGGGCTCCAAGGACCAATATCAGTTACTTGTTAGTTAGGTCATTTCTGATTTTAACTTATTACAGATGAAAGCAGTCCTTTTGCTTACACTCTTATGTGTAGAAAGAAGAAAAAGAAATGCTATGGTGGAAATGCATACAAAAAGAAAAAAACCTAATTAGTGGATGGGCATGGACACGCCAGCTAAGTTAGTGATTGGCTTACTCCATTAGGCAATATTCAGGTGCTTGCTTGCAACCAATACCTCCCGTGGGACCTGAGATGCTGCAGGAACAAGGAAAATCCATCTGCTGTTGAGAAGAACCTAAGACTGGCAGTCTGCTGGGGAGGTAGATGGTGTTCCCCTTGTGAGGTCCCATTGGCCTCTCCCCAGGTTCTTTGTTGCACCATGAAATAATCTGGTGCTGGACATCTTGCTGACTTTATACAGATCTTGTACTTTTTGAAATCTCAGTCCTGATACTCACTAGAATTTTTTTTTTCTTTTTTTTTTAATAAAGGCCTTTTTTGCCGAGTGAATTTTACCATAATCTGTGCAATCTGAATCTTGGCAAAAGGCACAAGAAAATAGCATAAGTCTTCCCATCTCCTCTGTCCCCCCAAAGCAGACCTGGCCTGAGGGTCTGCTGGAGATTCCAGCTCCCATCTCAGCCGTGCAAACCTTGTAGAGACTGTACAGGCCACAAGAGTTTTCTGCCTTCCTTTCTAGGGATTCCTCTGTTTCTGGTGATGTTGATGACTTAGTCTGGCTGCAACCCATTGTATTTGGAGGTCAGAACCTTCATGTGGCTAACATGGTATCCAAGATTCGGTCCTCTGGCACTGACTCTCACCTTCCTTCAGTACTGGCCGGTCTTGGCTCAGTTCTGCCCAGTGTTCTCCTCAGTGTATCGAGAGGATTTGCTTTTTCTTCCCAAATTCTGCTTTAAGTAACCACAGCCATATTGACATGACAATAATTGCAGGCAGCAAGAGATATGCCATGCTGCCTGCTTCATTATTTAAAAAAAAAAAAGGCAGTTTGAAATTTAACCTACTGGGGACACTTGAGAAATAGAGGGGAAGTTGTAGCGCAGGGAAAGTGCTTGATAGTGGCAGCCACAGGTTCATAATTCATTCTGGCAAGTCTTGGCTTTTGAAGAGCAACTAACATGGAGCTTCCAGCTGTCAGATGTATCTCACTCCTAACTGGTTTATGAGGAAGTTTGCTTTAGTTGCCCTGCAGGACCAGGTTAATTTCAGGTGTTCTTCTACCATAGTCAACAGAGCTGCACCAGGGGTCAGTTTGGCTTGAAATGCAAATGTGTTGGTGTGGTTGTGGGATCCACTCCTGTGTTGGAAATGGCTGGGCTATTTCTGTGTGGGTCGCTCGCCTCTGGTGGGGACTGCTCAGCTGAGAACTTGCTCCTTGCCCTCGGGCATCCATTCCTGAGGGGGAGAAACATTCCTGGCTCTGTAAGGAGAATTGCTGGTTGGTTCTGCTCTTCTGAAGGCAGTGTTAATCCTTCTTGTGTCACACAGGGCAATTATTGTATTCCTCCCCCTTCTCACATGGCATCCGTTGCTGGCAATGGACACACGAAAACTCCAGCAGCAAGGAGTTAATCAAATCTGCCCTGGGGTATGTAATGTCTCCTGAAACACCCAGAATACTTACTTGGGTATTTAGAGTTCCCTTTTTATAGTTCATTAAATTAAAAGAGAACAAACACTGAACAGACTACTTTTTTTCCATGCTGTGATGCCAGTATTATGAAATCAGAGGAGCAGTATGTAGTTTGTCAGTCTTGATGGTCTTGGCCATGTAGATCCAGGCAAAATAGTCACCTGACACTGCACATGGGGTAAAAAAGAGATGAGATTTTTATGTGTGATAATGTAGATGAGCTCTACTGGACCAGAACGAGAATTGCAAAGTGCAGGTGAGAGTTGGGAGCTCCCCATTTTGGCCCCAGTTCTGTCAGAATCACTAAACACAGCGTCTAAAGCTGGGTTGTCCTCTCACAGCTTAGCTTAATTGTGGTGGTGTCCTGCACCACCCCTGCCTCATTGAAACCCTGAGCCTTCATAGGCTGCATCCTTAGGAGCCCTGCTTTCTCCTTAGCTGTTAGAAAACTCTAAAAAGGGAAAAGGAGTTAGCAACGTGGTCTGGTGACTCCCAGCTGCAGCTGGCACTGGGGGAGGAGTGACTGGTGCACAGTCACTTTAGAAGCTCCCCACTAACTGACACTGGGTTTGCTCTGTGATGTAATATTTAGATGCTGAAATTATGGAGGTGTCATGGTTTAATACCAGCCAGTAACCAGGACTGTGCAGCCGCTCGCTCACTCCCCCCAGCTGGGATGGGGGAGAGAATTGGAAAGGTAAAAAGTGGGGGAAAAAAGCTTGTGGGTTGAGATAAGGCCAGTTTAATAGGTGGAGCAAAACCCACACGTGCAAGCAAAGCAAAACAAGGAATTAATTCACTGCTTCCCCTGGACAGGCAGGTGTTCAGCCATCTCTGGGAAAGCAGGGCTCCATCACTTGTAAGAGTTACTTAGAGGACAAACACCATCGTTTCAAACATCTCCCTTCTTCCTTTACCTTCCCCAAGCTTTATATTGCTGAGCATGGTGTCACGTGGCATGGAATATCCCTTTGGTCAGTTGGGGTCAGCTGTCCCAGCTGTGTACCCTCACAACTCTTTGTGCATGCCCGTCCTGCTCACTGGTGGGGCAGTGGGAGGAGCAGAAGAGCCCATGACTGCTCAGCAACAAACTAAAACCACCAGTGCACTATCAACAGTATTTTTTTATCCCAAATGCACTACACCAGCTGCTAGTGAGAAGGTTAACTCCATCCCAGCTGAAACCATGACAGGAGCGTTTCCCAGCAGCATCTTACTCCATTATCCTTATTGCCTGTGCCACCGTAACAGCTGTTGTAGTCTGCTTTCCACTGATGTCTGACAGGTACCACCAGCTATTGCATCCTCATAGAGTGGTAATTTACACCCAGAAGTGCACTTTACTTGCAGCTTGCACACCAGAAACAGAAAGGGACCCGGCAAATTCTTAAGTCAATTAAAATAATTATACGAAATACCATGTACCTAATGCAGCAGGATTAGTCAGACTTCTCCTTTCTGAGAAACATGGCTACAGTCAGAGCTTTGTCTTTTCTGCAAGATCTCCCTTTTTAATACATGTGATGCTTCTTATAATGTCTTACAGAAGTGCCCAGAGCACATTACCCGGGTCTCAGTGGCAGCTCGGCGAGAGCTCGGGAGCTGGACTGATGTAGAGACATTGACGTAAAGAAGAAAAAACGCACAAGGCCTAACATTTGTTTGTATGTGTATCTTCCTCGGTAGATTAAAGTTGCCTGTTTTGAGTTCACCAGCAATAAAGAAACCTTGTGATTTGTCTACCTTGTCCTAACTGCAGCAAGGAGACAGTGGCCCATTGCTGCTTTTTTTTTTTTCTTTTTCTGTTTTTTTTTTTTCCCTGGTGGGTGGTGGGATACAGGCTCCAGTTACCCCGATTTTCCAGTTTTGCCTCCCTTCTCTTGCTTCTCTCTTGTACGGTCCACCCTAAAGGATTGCAGAGCACGGGATGAAATACAGAGTCTGGCGTCCTGCACCCAGGAGATGGTTGAAGCGTTACCGTGATGTCTGTTCATCCTCCGCAGATCTTGCCAGAGGGAGATGGTTGACTTTCAGCAGGACCAGACTGCGCTTTGGTCTTCGGTGTTATAATTGAGAGAAATGTGTACATATGTACAAGGTACTATTGCGCCTTTGGTCTGAGTGCATTTTGTAATTAAAGCAGAATAATCCAATCAAGGTTTTGCTCGACTAGTCCTGTGACTATAAAAGGTAAAAAGACTGCAGGGCTTTAACTGCTTTGAGAATTGGGAAGCGGGTGGCTGCAGTTCTCCCGAGTTCAATAGCATTGTGCTGCTGTTGACTGGTTTTCTGAAACCTGCTCAGAAAGAAAGGGGATTTCTTCGTTCATGGGAACTTCTGCCCTTTCTGTACTATGAATAAAACATGAGCCACCTCTAAGATGTGAACTGAAACCAAATGTTTTTCTATTTTAGTTTATCCTGGGCCATGAATACGTGCAATGTGCCCTGTATTCAAGGGGGAAGATTGCAGACCTGAGTTCTTTGCTTCAGTTCTTCTGCCTGTACGCTGCAGCTGAACCACCTGAGAAGGAAACTATTCTTTTCCCCTCCCTTCCTGCACATCAGCAGCTACTGAATGTGATCCATCCCCCTGTTGTGGAAGGAAGTCTCTCTTTTGGTGCAGCCCCTGCTAAATCAGAAGCTGTTCCCACTGTGTGTCCCCTCACCCCGTTGCTTTGTCACCCACTTACCGAGCAGGATGACAGAGCTGGTGAGACCTCAGGAGTGTTATCTTTGTTTGGCAAATGGTCTCTACTTGCACCTGTCTTCCCTTACTGCCCTCGGAGTGTCCTGAGCCAGTCCCTGGGGAAGGGACCTTCCCTTCCTTCCACATTCCTGCCCAAAGAATGGACCAAGCCCTGCTGCTGCCGGGAGACCTCAGGGCCACTCAAGGTTTTAAGCTAACAAAGGTGGTCCACATTTGAGCAGGGGAACTTTGATTTTAAGAGCTGTTAAGTCTCTGGGCTTCAGGGTTGTTACCACCAGGTCATCCACAGGCATGACAGTGAATTTGTATTGTGTGGAACAGCTTATTTCCTCTAGAACGGCAAGGGTTTGCTCCATCAAGGGTTTGGCCACTTGGTTCACTGCTTTGGGACCTATAGGGAAGTCACAGAAGCAGGTGGTGCAGTACCTGCTCTAATTTTGGCCCCTGGGCAGCTAGCACAGATGTCAAAGGAAGAAGTGCTGTCTTGATGGCAGTCCTAGCGAGGGGCTGGGGATGCAGCAGTTAGTTTGTGTCCAGAGGCACCACTGCTTCAACTAGAAAGCTGTGCTTTCCCTCTGAGGTCTTTACTACCTGTGGAAATGTAAAAGTCGTCTGCTTGCTGCAAAGCATACCATTGCCCGCACTTACTCTGAAGTAGAAGGGATGTTCAAAATCTCTAGTCCTCTCTTTATCTAGGTGATTCCCAACTTACATCTTTGTGGAAAAACATGTCCCCTAAAGATATGCAAGCTAGTGCTCATTTAAACCAGTATAAATACTAGAAGCCATACAGTGCTGTGCTCCATCCTGTGAAGTTCATCATGCTGAGAAGCAGAATACCTTGGCCAACAGAGTGTGCTGCCATGTGGCTGTGCCACTTCCAGCACCTGAATTAGTATAAACGCCTACTCAGGAATGCATTTTGCCTTATAAATTACTCTTAATTCCGTGGGTTCCAGTGGAATCGATTGCCAGGCTAACAAGGAAGAAAGACTGAGATACTGCATAAGCGTCATCACTGCTTATGATCTCACTCAAGAGCATTTTGCTTAAAGCTTCAGACATTTAACCCGAGACCCCAGAGACCAAATGTGGAAGGTGAGTTGTCACAGCCCTGGAGCAGGTCACCAGCACCACACACGGCAGGCTGCATTGACAGGGTGTGCTGTGCAGCTCCAGCACGTGGCCAGGACCAGCTTCCACCGTACACCGACTGTGATGAGTAGAGAGGGTGGTACTGGAGCTGCTGGCAACGGTGGCAGAGCGAGGACTTGGTGGTGACCTCTGCATTCCCAAATCTTCAAGAGCTGGGCAGGTTGGCACGCACGGCAGGCTGCGTTGCAGAGGGAGTGCTGTGCAGCTCCAGCACGTGGCCAGGACCAGCTTCCACCGTACATCGACTGTGATGAGTAGAGAGGGTCTGCTTATGATCTCACTCAAGAGCATTTTGCTTAAAGCTTCAGACATTTAACCCGAGACCCCAGAGACCAAATGTGGAAGGTGAGTTGTCACAGCCCTGGAGCAGGTCACCAGCACCACACACGGCAGGCTGCATTGACAGGGTGTGCTGTGCAGCTCCAGCACGTGGCCAGGACCAGCTTCCACCGTACACCGACTGTGATGAGTAGAGAGGGTGGTACTGGAGCTGCTGGCAACGGTGGCAGAGCGAGGACTTGGTGGTGACCTCTGCATTCCCAAATCTTCAAGAGCTGGGCAGGTTGGAAGCAGCTCTTCCACGTTCTCTGTGTTTGGGACTTCTCACGGGTCTAAAGCAATCTGGCAGGTTTTTATTCTGACAGAAGCAGACCGTTTCCTCCACTCCTTACTCTGGATGTTCTCTATGTTTGGGACTTCTCACAGGTCTAAAGCAATCTGGCAGGTTTTTTATTCTGACAGAGGCAGACCGTTTCCTCCACTCCTTACTCTGGAGTCTGGGCTGCTCACTCCTCCTTTAGTAGCCACAGGATTGTCTGATGTCAACGGCCTTCATTAGTGTCTCAGAAAATAGCGATTTTTAAATGATAATCCCAAATGCTTGACGTCAGTTTGTATTTATGCTTTAGTCAATTTAGGAGCTAAAGACACTTAAGTATCTGGTGATGCTGTTTGTTTATACTGTTGTGTGGCATGCTGTCCTGCTTTGATGCTATAATGAAGGAGGAGGAGAAGGAAATACAAGCAATTTGCTCTTTAATAAAAATAAGTAAACATGTGCAGTTGAGACAATATTTATTAAATATACGAGTTGAGATATCCATAGTGCTTGTAGGTTTCTGGTCTTTCAAACATGGGACATTTTCCAATGCAGAATTTGTGTGGTTAGTTCCTTTTGCAACATATCTATATTGATACTTCAGTATGGTTCTTTACCTGGTGTTTTGGGGATGAGAATAACAGCATTTGCCTTTCTTTTTCAGTTTTTGCTATCCCTAAGTGCTTTTCACAAACAAATAAAATAATTCTCATTTCAGGCCTTGAAGTAGGTTGGGATTAACCCCTACCAGCACTGCCCAGGAGCAGATGGAAATGTCCTGAGAGCTCCCAGGCCATTTCAGGCCTGGAAAAAGGAGTTTAACATTTTAACCTGTTCACCAAGTTTCCAGATTTGAGGAGTGAATTAATAAAGTTCCAAGCAAGTTGGGGAACTGTGTAAGTGCTACCTAGTGTCTACCATCTGAAGCTGTCCTAGATAAGGTTTTGTGCATCATCGCATCACTCCATCTGCCTAAGTCAAAGCCAGCACAAGAAGGGACTGTCAGAGCTGATAGGCAGCACGGTTCTGTCTGATACAAAATAGGACTGATTTCCCTCTGTTTGCTACATAATCCCATCTCCATCAGTAGAGTACTTTTGGGTAAATATTGCTAGGGGCAACAAGCCATGTTAGAGGTTAAACTGAGGTGACCATCTGCTCTATCAGCTCGTGCTGTTGCAGTTACTGCAGAGCTTATCTGTGTTGCTGCTTCTGTTGTCAGACCACTCGTGATGCCACAGTTCTTCCTATTGCTTCTGTTTCTCCATCAGCTCCTTTGGTAACCTGGCTCTCTCCGTGCCTTGCCTCCACTGCAAGTCCATGCCACGTTCACAGGTACCTTAAGCCTCCTGTCTGAGCCCCACCTTTGCCAATTTAACACAAATGGGCTGATTGCTGATGAGCTGTAGCTTCCATTAAAGCCTGCAACAGCTGCAGCGTTCAGTGCTTTGGAAGCTCAAAGCAGAAAATATTTCACACTCTTGCCTTCAGGCACAAGTATAGCAGCAACTTCGCAATTATTGTGCAGTGCCTTTGCTGCAACATCCACACAATGGTACATCATAGACTTTCAGGACTAAATTCAGCAAAGAGCTTCTCTGGTTTCAGTGTATGTGGAATAATACATAATTTCAACTGATCCTTCATATAAGTGCATATACACATCACAAGTGTGTGTCTTTAGATGCATAAACTTAGCAGGTGGCCTCCATGCTGTGCCACCAATTGCATCATAACTTCTACTGGCAAGGAAGAGCCACCACCTGCTTAGATGCCAACAGCAGTCTGGGCCCACTCACTGCCACTTTCTTCAGTTTATAAGATTCAGAGAAGATCCAAAATGAAGCTCTGCAAACCCATGAAGCAGGTTAAGGTCTGAGCTGACAGCTCGGGACCTCGCAAGCTGTGTGCGTGCTCCAGTGCGTGGGAAGCCCCTCCGTCTGATCTGGCAAGGGGTCAAAGCCGCTTATTGACGAGTGCTCAGCTCAGAGAGGTGGGTTAGGCCCACATTTTTCCAATGTGTTTTTTACGTAAGTTTTTTAAACTCAGATTAACGTCTAAGGCTAACATGCCATACTTGCTCCATCTTGGAAAAAAAGGGGGAGTTACTGCCTTGGGAGCCTTCTGATGTCTTCACTAGGGTTTGCCTTCCCCTCTGTCTGCACCCTCTTATTGCTAAGGAGAGCAGTGTGTACCCAGCTTGAGTCAGACACATCCACTCCCCTTCCTCAGCAAAGGCATCCACCGAAAGTACTCCCTCCCACCCAGGCTGCCCTGCTCATCCTCGGCGTCCTGTTCTGCTGCTGCTCCATCTGTTGGCCACTGGTGCCTGTCTGCCATCTCTAATCTCAGTCACGCTGCAAATTCTCCAGGCCAGGACTTGTCTTTTTGTTGTAACATTGATGTGAGCCTGTCTCCAACAGGGTCTGTAAGTGCTATTGTACCATAGTAAGCATTAAAGTCTCTTGAAGCCTTTGGAGAGAAGAGTAAACATCTCAGCTCTGTTCCACTAACAAAACAGCCTGGCCAGAATGTCCATGTGGCACTTCTGTTGCCTCTTGCTGTCCAACCTTGTCTCCCAGCATCACACAGGAAGGCAAACCCCTGCTGATGACCTGAGCACGCCAGCAGCACCAGCGGAGGGGAGCACGGCTGGTGGCACACTAGGAGCCTCCTCCCTTGGACTCCTCTGCAGATGACACACGGGTGTCCATGTTAGCTGGCTGCTGGCATGCTCTAGCTAAACAAATTTTTAGCATTATTGGACAGTCATCTGGCTCTTCAGCAGAGGCTGGCTGGAGTTAGCATGGTGATTATATTTTGTTTGACAAATGTGCTGACAAAGCACAGCTGCCCTTTGATCTCCCAGTAAAGGCAGCATGGCCCCCAGCACCATGCTTGGTGGGGCTTCGCGTTGTATGACTGCTGAAG